TGATTGAGGGTAAAACATAAATCAATGCTAGTTTTCCTTAAAAGATTTTCAAAAGTTGCATCACGTAAGCATTAGTGTTCGCAGGGACGCCAGAGAAGAGGGAGCGCTGGAAAAGAAGGAACAAAGGAGTTCAGAGTGCCCTTTTCATTAAAGTGCCCTTTTCATTAAAGTGCCCTTAAAACCGGCCATTCTAATAATCAGGGAGAGTCATATGAAATTCCGATTTTAGTGCATAATTCATGACGACATTTCTCAAAATTTGTAAAATAATGCCAAAAGTTAACAAATGTCCAAGATACCTGAAGAAGATCGAAGTAAAATGGCTGTTACGAAAGAATTGCTAGTAGCGGGGAATTATCTTTCAAATGCCCTTTTACTCAAGCCTGCCCCCTCGCCCCTTTGTCGTTCCGGCGTCCCTGAGTGTTCGCAAAGGTTAAAGGAGGTTTTTCGTACACTGGTCCATTTGCTTGGGATGAAATCTCACAATCCATTAGAGATATCGATTCCATCGTACGATTTGAAATAGAACCAAGATTTCGCCTTTTGAGATAGCAGAAATTAGCTCGGCATGAAACCATAAAAGATCAGACATTTTTTTTTCATTTAATCTTATTTATACACGATATCCATTCAGTAAAGAGAAAAGTTAAGATATACAGAATTAAAAACTACATAACATTAAACATTTGATAAGTTTACTTAGAGATTAAAACATAAATTGTATGAACTTCCATTGATTCGGACCAAGCTGATGTATGTTAGCTCAAAAGGTGAAATCTTAGTTCTATTTTAAAACGAATTGAGATCTTTAATGAATTCTGGGATTTCATTCCAAGCAAATGGACCAGTGTACAAGAACATCTTTTGGTATAATCTAATGTTAGTTTTTGCGCATGGAGATTTTATCTATCTATTCCTTGTGTTGTATTTTGCTATGGCAGACCTTTTGACGAACTGATTTTTTAGCTCTCTAGGACAGAGCTGATTGACAATTTTACAAGTCATAACTGCTTGGTCAAACTTCATCAATTGACTTACCTTCATAGGCAGTGGTGTAGTGCAATAAAAAACAATAGCAATGAGGCTTTTGCACAAAATGTTGCTAATGACAATAGCAAAAGTAGAAATTTACCAATATTCGGAATCAACAAGGGAGGCTCATCCCCCTGAGCCCCCTATCTTTACCTCTCTGTTCATAAGTCTCTTATCATAAGTATCCTTTACCGTTGAAGATTCTATTAGATCGAACGCTTTGTCCTGATATTTTTGCAGATTGCTTGGTATAGAGAGGACTCTCCATACCACGTAAGCTTACCCTAAGTGACTCTCATCCACTGTTTTATATACATTGAGCAGATTTGAAGACAAAATAGAAATTGTGATTTGGGAGGTTCATTCTCATCAACTGTTCTATGGCTTTTTGCCTTTACTGTCTGAGAGCAGTGGCGGTCGCAAAACATCCCTTTTTCAAGGTCTGATTCTTTGGGATCTACATGGACATCACAATCAAAAGCCATTTGACCGGATTCAACTGGGATTGATTGGAACTGTCAGGATTTTGATCACGATTGTATGATCACGACTCGTCAATTTTCAGGGTTGCAATCCTGATCCCTGTCATTCTAATCCAATCCCGATCCATGTTAATATGATGTATCATCTTTAAAGAGATAAGGTATTATTGTTTAATTATTGACTCACATCTAACACACGGCATGCCAAGTGGAAGCTCCTTGCAATGGGTGCACTTGTATCCAGGGGAATAGCAAACATCGAGACACAAATGCTCCGGTTCGCATGGATTGAGTTTCCTGCACATGTGCCCAATCTACGAAACAAAAAAGTTATCAAAAGAACTTCAAGCAATAAAGTACCTTCTGGCATCAGTTCAGCGAATCTGTGCAATGCAGAAGAAGATTTTTTCATAAAGAATTAGTCATACACTGCCATCTTCCAAAAACAGCAATAGGATCCGTCTATATATCAAAAGAACTGCAGCTTGTCTACTCTTGAGCTCACGGTTGCACAATATAGACTACTTTGAAATAACAGTGTAACAAAACAAATTATAAAGGTAAACAAAAACGCTGCCGTACAACGTTACTAAATTCTTCAGGATAGTCAAAAATATATTTCGTTTTGGCCGTAGTTTTTCTAATAAACATCTATCTCTAATTCGATTAATAGTCTGATGAACTAAATTAAGCTCATCCATTTGAGAAAGATTGACTTTCGAGGTACATAAAAGTTCCTTTAGGTTGATGAAGTGTATCATACACGTTGATGGTACAATGAAATTAATTGTATTTTGCTCGTTCCATACCAGATTTTCAGTAAAGCTCGTTGACTTGTACACCCAACCTTGCTTTGGCGTTAGTGCTACCCCGTCTGAAGCATCTGCAGTAGAGCGTTTGTTGAGCTCGCACCTTCTGGCTTTCTTACTCTTTTCTATGTTTATTGACTTGCATTGCAGCTCATCAACACAGGCAAGTTCGCATTCTTCTTCGGATGGAACAATTACTGTTGTTATTTTCTCTCCCTGCAAAACTTTATCCTGCTCTACATATGAGAAGTTTGCGTAGTCTCCACAAGATCTGCGCAGGATTCTACCGTTGACTGAATGCAGGAACATGTGTAAGAAGATGCAAAATACTCCAAACGTGCTATAGAAGACAATAATATCCAACCATTTTACATTGCTACTAGTGGGCAACAAGGCTTCAGGTGTAATTCAATTTTAAAATTAATTAACATCTTTTTACCAATTTCAGCAAAGTCTGTGCTATTCCTACTCGAAATCCCGTTTCCGTAAATTCCTGAAAATTTATTTAATCAGGACTTCAGCAAAAAATAGTTAATTTGATATATTTTATCTTAATTGATTATAAATAATAAATATAAATAATTATCTATGCTTAAGTTATTCATATGTGATTTAAATTTGTATGTCAAGGGATAAGAAACCCTTTCCAATGGCCGGACCTTTTATTCCCAAAAGTTTGCCCTAACTGTACCACTATTTGGAAATATTAGAGGGGATGACAACCCCACACCTCCAGTAGCTACACCCATGGCCTAAGAATGTAAGGTGTAAGAAAAACTTTTATTTGCGCGTTACACACCATTCTAGCCTAATTGCCCTCCAGAAAAAACCCGAGTTTATTTCGAAGTTAAAAGTTTGCTTACTCTTATCTTAATTGATATGTTTTAATGGTAGCTCCATAGATACAAACATAGATACTCTGACATACCGTGCTGCTAAGGGACGCCAACCGTTCGTTACATTTATACAAATACAGCTTATACAAACCTGGCTAAATTCGGGTGCATCTTGAAAGTGCTGCTGAAAGCTTTCAGGTATTTGCTTGTAAGATGTTTTCGTGCATGAGAATTGAATTGATCATTCAGATTATAAGCCGATTGATCGATCATATTTAAACTTTCTGAATACTTATTTTACAAGCGAAGGCGCGCGTGAATGCATGGAGGGCGCGTGAATCGGGTCACAGGCATGCACCTGCTAAACTTTCGTCAAAGTATACTGATAGTGTGGTCGGTATTATCAATGCCTAGATAAAAACTAACAGACGTTTTCGTAGTTTTCCTTCATTATCTTTGATGCATTATCTTTGATCAACCAATGGAGCTCATAGTAGTGTTAAAATTTCAAAGACTGAACACATCGCATTATGCAAACTGTAGGCAACGTAAGCCTCCCTTATTACTCCAATCTGTAGTTTGTGCATTGCTGTCCTAAACCAGCAGAGAAATCATGAATGATAATATGGTAGTGTCTTTAAACAGTTTTCCATTGAGAAACAAGTAAAAGACAGAAGTGAATTATCAAGGAAGGTTTCTATTGCATATACCTATTATGCTTTTTCACAGTTACTAAGCAGCATGTGACCCAGCTTATATTATATCTTTCCACGTTTCCCGATTAAAACACCTCCATGCAACAAGACTTTTCTATTCAATGAAATTAGCAGGTAAATATGGCACATGATACCAAAATTTGCCTTGGGCTGGTTAGTCTGGGCTGTTAGCACAGTATTTGACTTGAATTGTGCAAATTGTGATACCAGCATGAAAATGGATGCACTGGGGGTAATTTCACACGCTGATGACGATGCCGAACAGACCCAAGCCGAAAAATGCCCCCAAGTGCTATTTTTAGACTGGGGTACTTGGCCCCAGTCCTCGAAATGGGCCAATCTCCATATGTCATTACTGATTTATGAAAAAAGTGGGAAAGGAAAGATTTAGGTGCATTATCATATATTAAAATATATTAAGAGAAAAGGAAATGAAAAATTGCCCCTTAATGCTATTTTTAGAATATGAAATTGGTACCCATGTCTCTATTTAAGCATTCTTCTCTAAATAATTACTCTCTTTTATATGAATATGAAATGTAGCTTTCTCCATTCTTTCATCAAACTGAAAAGTAATACGAAAAGATGTAATTGACAATTTTACCCCTTGATGCTATTTTTAGAATGGGGTACTGGAACCCAGTTATCGAAATTGTGTTTTACCTTCATAGTCTAGGCTCTAAGCACAGTATTTGACATGAATTGTGCAAATTGTGGTACCAACATTACCACACAGCCTTGTGCCGGAATGAGAGATCTGGAAGCCAGTTTTTTGCTAAGTAGTGTGCCCAAATATATAACCAGCTGCAGAATGAGAACTTCATATAAGTGATAAACCAGTATTATCTAGAAGATCTTTAATTGACTTCACCCAAGATATATATTTCCAGTTATCAACTGACAAAAAAAAGCTTCTAAAAATAATCTTGTCTGCTGATCATCAACTTGCCCCAGAAATTCATACCGTTCTTGATTTGATTTCGGTAGATACAGAGAAGAGACCAAGTCCCCATATTCAAAGATCCGTCATTCCTTTGTAATTTCGTTATTCAAATTGGTCTATAGTTCTTAACTTTTCCAATCCCCATAAATGTGCTCCATAACCCGTTTCCTTATTCTATCAACGTTTGAAAATGTTTATATCTTTGTTTTATCAGACCTTTGGTTCAAATTGAAAAAAAATCATCATGTGATATTACTTAGTCTATGTTGGGGTGTCAACAGGTTTTAAGGCTACTGCAGGCTTTGAGAAATAATATACTTTAACAATATTGAAGTAAACAATACATTTTCCCTTTAAGGAGATACTTTATGAGAAGTGTGTTCATAGGAAATTTTTTTAGAGACGAAAAACATTAAGATATATTTTCGATCTTGAATGGAGTAAAATCCGATTTTCTTTTAATCATTTATCATAATCAGCAACTGTGGTGCTCTGCTTAAGGATTTGACTGCTATGTCAGTCACGTTAATATGTTCCAACAAAGTTGTTCCATATTAGTTCTATACTATAGGGATCTCCATATTGCGAAGTTAAACCTTAAATCCACCAAAATGGATTCCATTACTCGGGCATTAGGACTTAGAACAAAATGATATTAAGAGTTAATGTCAGAGAACTATGAACACTACGACTGTTTAAAACACTCTAAAAAGGAATCCCGAACATTTGTCGAAATCCCTGTGTCCACTGCAAGATTAGGTTTGTTTGCCCCAGTCAGTCTTACATCCCCCCCGTTAAAAGTTTTGTTTTCCTGCCTTAAAATACAGATAGGCTCTCTTTGGCAGTCTTCTTTGACCAATTCCCCACCAGTCCAAGGCAAATTTTGGTATCCTGTGCCATATTTACCTGCTACTTCCATTGAATAGAAAAGTCTTGTTACATAGAGCTGTTTTAATCGGGAAACGTGGAAAGATATAATATAAGCTGGGTCACATGCTGCTTAGTAACTATGAAAAAGCATAATAGGTATATGCAATAGAAACCTTCCTTGATAATTCACTTCTGTCTGTTATTTGTTTCTAAATGGAAAACTATTTAAAGACACTACCACTTTATCATTAATGATTTCTCTGCTGCTTTAGGACAGCAATGCACAAACTACAGATTGAAATAGTAAGGGAGGCTTACGTTGCCTACAGTTTGCATAATGCGATGTGTTCAGTCTATGAAATTTTAATCCTACTATGATTTAAGCTCCATTGGTTGGTGTGTTGCATCAAAGATAATGATGGAAAACTACAAAAACGTCTGTTAGTTTGTATCTAGGCATTGATAATACCGACCACACTGTCAATATACTTTGACGAAAGTTTAGCAGGTGCATGCCTGTGACCCGATTCGCACGCCCTCCATGCAAAATCCCCGTCATACGTAAACACCATGTATTCTAAATGAATCATAATTCTTGGCATGTAAAATGAGTATTCAGAAAGTTTAAATATGATCGATCAATCGGCTTGTGATCTGAATGATTAATTGCATTATCATGCACGAAAACATCTTTCCAAAAAATACTTGAGAGCTTTCAGCAGTACTTTCAAGATGCACCCGAATTTAGCCAGGTTTGTATAAGCTGTATTTGTATAAAAATAAGGACAAGTTGGCGTCCCTTAGCAGCACGGTATGTCAGAGTATCTATGTTTGTATCTATGGAGCTACCATTAAAACATATCAATTAAGATAAGAGTAAGCAAACTTTTAACTTCGAAATAAACTCGGGTTTTTTCTGGAGGGCAATTAGGCTAGAATGGTGTGTAACGCGCAAATAAAAGTTTTTCTTACACCTTACATTCTTAGGCCATGGGTGTAGCTACTGGAGGTGTGGGGTTGTCATCCCCTCTAATATTTCCAAATAGTGGTACAGTTAGGGCAAACTTTTGGGAATAAAAGGTCCGGCCATTGGAAAGGGTTTCTTATCCCTTGACATACAAATTTAAATCACATATGAATAACTTAAGCATAGATAATTATTTATATTTATTATTTATAATCAATTAAGATAAAATATATCAAATTAACTATTTTTTGCTGAAGTCCTGATTAAATAAATTTTCAGGAATTTACGGAAACGGGATTTCGAGTAGGAATAGCACAGACTTTGCTGAAATTGGTAAAAAGATGTTAATTAATTTTAAAATTGAATTACACCTGAAGCCTTGTTGCCCACTCGTAGCAATGTAAAATGGTTGGATATTATTGTCTTCTATAGCACGTTTGGAGTTTTTTGCATCTTTATGCATATGTTCCTGCATTCAGTCAACGGTAGAATCCTGCGCAGATCTTGTGGAGACTACGCAAACTTCTCATATGTAGAGCAGGATAAAGTTTTGCAGGGAGAGAAAATAACAACAGTAATTGTTCCATCCGAAGAAGAATGCGAACTTGCCTGTGTTGACGAGCTGCAATGCAAGTCAATAAACATAGAAAAGAGAAGGAATGCCAGACAGTGCGAGCTCAACAAACGCTCTACTGCAGATGCTTCAGACGGGGTAGCACTAACGCCAAAGCAAGGTTGGGTGTACAAGTCTACGAGCTTTACTGAAAATCTGGTATGGAACGAGCAAAATACAATTAATTTCATTGTACCATCAACGTGTATGATACACTTCATAACCTAAAGGAACTTTTATGTACCTCGAAAGTTAATCTTTCTCAAATGGATGAGCTAAATTTAGTTCATCAGACTATTAATCGAATTAGAGATAGATGTTTATTAGAAAAACTAGGGCCAAAACGAAATATATTTTTGACTATCGTGAAGAATTTTTGTTTACCTTTATAATTTGTTTTGTTACACTGTTACTTCAAAGTGGTCCAAATTGCGCAACCGTGAGCTCAAGAGTAGACAAGCTGCAGTTCTTTTGATATATAGACGGATCCTATTGCTGTTTTTAGAAGATGGCAGTGTATGACTAATTCTTTATGAAATAAATTTTCTTCTGCATTGCACAGATTCGCTGAACTGATGCCAGAAGGTACTTTATGGCTTGAAGTTTTTTTTGATGACTTTTTCGTTTCGTAGATTGGGCACATATGCAGGAAGCTCAATCCATGCGAACCGGAGCATTTGTGTCTCGATGTTTGCTATTCCACTGGATACAAGTGCACCCATTGCAAGGAGCTTCCACTTGGCATGCCGTGTGTCAGATGTAAGTC